AGATCCTGTTCCCAGCCATCCCACCCCTCCCTCCCCCATGATCCCATCGTGCTGAGGGGCCCAGCACCCCCAGACCCTGATACTGTTGCAGCCCACCAGGAGCCTGAGCAGGACCAGTCCTCACTCAGCACATCCCAAACCTACCTCATGCCTCTCCATGCCCTCTTCCCACCCCCCCTGAACCTGGGGCTGGGTCTCATTTCATGTGAAAAATGACTCTGGAATACTCCAATCCCATTTCTGTGGAGCGCATTACCGGCCTTAATGACAGCTCTTTTTCACTTGCCTGTCATGGCACTGAAATAAAGCTGTGCTTTCCCTCACCTATAAATCACTCCTTTATTTGGAGATGGAATTAAATTAAAAATAATAATAAAAAAAAGGAATAAACATGTTACCCTCTCCCTTTCCTCGGAGCCAGGCAGGTTGGAGCCATGTTTAAATTACCTCTGCCGTGTTCAGGCAGATTGTCAGCTGTAAATTTAGGGGAAGAAATAGCAAAGCTGATAAATAAACATGTTGGGTTTGTCAGGGATGGATTTTGCTGCCCTTGGATTTATGACACATCTCCCCATTAAAGGGGCTTTTGTGACAGTGCGGCTGGGTGGTGCTGCTGAGGGGGTGATTTCCCTCTCATTTAAACACAGCAGGAACTTCATGGAATTTAATTTGGGATGCTTCTTTCTGAGCTGCTCTGAGCCCCCCGGCGTCACTGGGGTCATTGCCCAGAACCCCCTGAATTCACCCCAAAGGGGCTCCCACTACCTTGATGAGGGAGGGAGCCCCATCCTGAGCTGCTCTGGGCATCATCTCCAGAATCACCTCTTGCACCACAGGGACCACTGAGCACAAACAAACTCCCCAACCCCCCCTCCCGGAATTGGGGGAATATCAGGTGATTTTGGTGCAGCCGCTGTTGCAGGGGCCGCTGAGCACAAAACCCACACAGGACTGGGGGAAATGCGGGCGGTTTTGGTGCAGCCGCCGCCGTTGCCACAGCAACCGCTGAGAAACCCATCCAGTCCAGGAGGGAGGATGCTGCAGCCTCCGCCAGCGCAGGACCGGGAGGCAGGAAAACACTCCCAGGGGCGAGAGATTGATGAAAATAAATCATTTTCAGTGCAGGAATCCAGGGAGGGGGGTGTTCAGGATCCCCCCAGCCCCACGTGGGGCCGGGCGAGGTGGCTGTGCCCACCCAGGGACTGCTGAGGGCTCGCCGGGGCTGAGTCAAGCGGAAAGATTCCCTGCTTTTCCAATCCTCATGGAAAGGCTGAGTGTTGCCTACCCCGGGCTAATGGCATTACAGAGGCAGCCGAGCAGGGAGGCTATTAAATGTCAAGAGCTCTGCACAGGAAGATGATGCAGGAAGGATGGTTGGCTCCTCTTTCCAGGGGGAATAGAGATTTTATTAGTGCGTGCCAGTCCCACGTGGTAAAAATATAACCCGGCATTTAATAAATAAATAAAAATAAATGAGAGCACGAAGCTTGGGCTCTGTGCGGGCAGGGACAGCAGCTCCTGGCAGGAGGGAGAAGCCGCTCCTGCGTCAGTGGGATGGAGGGGAAGGAGGGACCCTCCCCCGCCTCTAATCCAGAGGTGCAACCAGATGTGCAGCACATGCTGACAGAGACCTAATGACTTCCAAGTGCTCCATTTGAGTGCAAATGAAATTAAAAAAAAAAAAAAAAAAAAAGCAATTGCGGTGCAATAAAGGCAGGGAGGGGGAAAAAAATATGGGAATTGAATCTGCTGGTGCTCAGAGAACTCCCTTGGTCCTTTTGCCGTGGGTTGGGAAGGTGTTTGTGGGGGCGATGGTGTAGATGTGGGGTCCCCCTCCCCACATCCCCCCCCTTCCTCTGACAAGCTGCAGCCCAGGCTCTGAGCACGCTGGCTGCATGCAATGTCAGCTCTTAATTGTTTTATCTCCGAGATTAATTGGCTTTTGGGGTTTAATTATTTCCGAGGGGCGGAAGGGAACGCTGCCCCTTTGGCAGCCGCGGCCTGTCAGAACAAATCACGCCTGACGTGTGTCTTCATCACTGCACACCCAGGGCTGCCGTAAAAAAAGGGATTTCACCAACTCCTGATCAGAAATAAGGAATAAATTGCACCAAACCTGCTCTTGCTCTGGCACTAAGGAAGGTTGGGAGAAAGCAGGAATAAATTCCACCAGACCTGCTCTTGCTCTGGCACTAAGGAAGGTTGGGAGAAACCAGAAATAAAACCTGCAGTGAATCTCTCCATGGACCCCAATAAACTCGTGTCGAAAGACCCTGTAAAGGTATGTAAGTTGAAGGAAACTCTTTGGTTGTGTTGTCAGTGGTTTAAATACAGAAATCACATTTTTGGGATTAAAGGTGGGGAAGAGGAGCCATATCCTGTGGGACACCCTGGGATGTCTGGGATGGGTTGGGGATGCTCAGGTGGCCCCACAAACACACAGGGAGGCAGAATAGCAACAAAATCTCTCGTTTAATAGCTGGATTGACCTGAGGATTTGCTCTGACCGAGGTAAACAGCCCCGGGGCTGCCGTGAGCGAAGGAGCGTGGGCTCAGCTCCGTTCCCAAAAAAACCTCCAGCCATTTGTCAAGGGAAGAGTTAAAACTGGGGCAGCTGCTCCCTCTGAACACATTCACCCACCTCCGTGCAAAAGAAACAGGGAGCAGGAACCCCCCAGCCCGTGTTTGCTCCTCAAGCACATTAGAAAAATATATTTTTATTTAAATTCTCCTTTTCCTCCATGGAATTTTCTTCTCTCTTTGAATACAGATCGAGTGGTGTGTCTCGATTTGACCTGTGCCTGCCTTTCTGTCAAGATCAAGAGTTAAAAGCCAATTGTTCAGTATCTAATCTAGAAAAAGGCTGCGTACAATATATGGCTTTTGCACCTACATCCAAAGGGAACTCGCAGGTTGGGAATATTGGAGGGGCTTGTTTGGGGCAAAGCCAGGACAGGGACGGGCTGGGAGGGCGGCGTGGGATGAGGGGATGGCTGGGGATCACATGCCGCTCTGCACAAAGCCAGCCTGGAAACGGCACCTTCCTGTGCCCACGGGATCCTTTGGTTTGGCTTGGGGCTCTGCCAGGGTGCTTGGTCAGGGGGCCCCCCAAAGCTCAGCCCCAGGGTTTGCTCCCCACTGCAGCTCCTGGCCCCCAAAGCTGCTGCTGGAGGGGCTGTTCTGGCTCGTGAGCTCCTGAAATGAGGCACAGAGGAGCTCCTGGGTTGCAAAAGCTCTTCTGTCCAGGGCCAACGTTCCCCTCTTGAGCATGATCCCCATGGAGGGGGGAGATCTTACCTGGAGCCACCCAGGTGGGGGTCACAGCCCTCCCTCCCGAGGCTGGAGCAGCAATGTTGCCTCGTGCTGGGGTTGGGAATGCAGCCTTGCTCCAGGGACCCCGAGGAGCCAAGGGATGGCTCATGGGGGCACAGCCACCTTGTTTGGGGGCATCGCTCTCCCCAGTGCAGCCTTCCTGATTCCCATCTGGAATGATGGGATCTCATGGGAGCAACACCCACGTAGTACCACCCCTTGGTCTAAGATTGATGGATTCCATCCAGGGACAAGCAGATGCCTCCCAGGGCTGGCCATGAAGTGAGGGGGGTTTGGGGAACTCCCACCCCAGGGAGTTCAGCTCTGGTGGCACCGGGTCCATCAGGCATGGCCAGTGACTCTGAGCCAGCCCAAGGAGACCACAGACAACCCAGGGCACTTGCAAGGACCACAGATAAAACCCACTGCACTTCCAAGGAGGGCTGTGGCAGCCAGAGCAGGAGTGGGATGGAGCAGGAACCCTGTGGTGGTGAAGGCACCCGTGTCCCCCTGGCGCTGCCGCCATGCCGGGGTCTGTGATGGCCAAACAAGCTCAGCACTGGTTGGGGACCACTCGTCGCTCATGCAGGGAGTTGATCAACAGCTATAGCAGCAGATGGAGAATTAAAAGCAGAGCCACCCACTGGGTGGAATTAGGTAGAGGTCGGGAACAGGGTCAGGTCCCTCCACCATTATCACCATCATCTCGGGTAATAATCATCCGGGACCCCCGACAGGTTCCGGAGCTTCAGAGCCGTGTCCACTGTTTTGATGTAGCCACTGATCATCTTCCTCATCTCGGGGGTGTAGGGGTCGTACTCCAGTTTCCTCAAGCCGGAGCGCTTGAAGTTGCCGTCCTTCTGGCCCTCGACGCAGAG